CCAATTTTTGTGTTACCTATTGCAACGAAGTTGTGATAGCTGCAAGTGCCTGGTAACGTTTTTGTAGTTGTATATCTTTTCTCTATTTCACTTCGAATTATCGTGTTTGACTCCGTGGATATGTAATAAATAAAGATATGTATTCCTATGATTTCATTTTGGCAAAGATTAAATACTACAGATGCTGTAAGAATATGATTTGTTGTTGTTCGATGAAGGCTAGCAATTGAAGTTAGTCTTTTTACAGTCCCACCAATACCATCACAGGGTGATTTACCGTGACTTGTTGCGAAGAAAGACCAGGTACATTTCATAGTAAAACCTTTTTCATTGTGGCATATATTTACAAAGTGTTTGCATTTCTTGTACTGGCCAGCACACCCATCTGAAAAGTAATGGACACTTTCTATTTGATGAAAAATATTGCTTTAAATATGTTCAATTGTTAGCTTTATCACATGATAAACCATATCTACATCATGCACTAAATCATCTGAGATGAAACATATTGAATCACTTTTGAGGACATTATTTTCTTTATAATAAATTACTGTTGGATGAAATGTTGCTTGAAATTTGTTCCAGTGAAAACTTTGTATTTCGTCTTGTACAAAAAACTCGTAGTTTTCTGAGAAATTGCCAAGCACAATGACCTCAGTACTACTTAACTCATTTTTTAACTTTCTTAAAGAAGCAGCTTGACTTTTTGCAATGTAAGAATGAACAGTAAGTTTTTGCAACTTATTTTTCAAAGTATTATTCAAGGTACTTGTTGTTTTTGTTAGACTTAATAGCTCAGATCGGTCTTTTGTTTTCCATTGTTTATAATCTATAAAGTAATCATCATCTTCATCAATATCGTCTTGAGAGTACAACTCATTTTCAAGATAGATAAATTTAGAACTTTTTGGGCACAAAGGGCAACAATGTATCGTGCAAGTTTTGCCCTATTACAAACAAGCATATTAATAAGCTCGTGATAATCCTTTAATAATTCAATTGCACTAATCATTAACTTAACATTTTGATCGTAGGTACACACAAATACTGTATGCGTACCAGATGCTCCAACTGTAATGCACCATTTTGACAATGTGAGCAAAAGTTAGAAAAACAGCTCTTTATATCTGGATAACAGGTTTTAAAATTTGCATATAGCTCTTTTAGATTTGAAAGAATCAAACGCTTTTGCATGTGAGATCTTCAAGCTATACTAACAAAATCTTTTTTACCAGTCATTAGCTATATTCATCATAACAATAAAATTTAATAATTGTATATAATGTTTCTTGAGGTATTTCCTTTCCTTTTTTTTTTTTCAAGAAAAGATAAAGTACCATTTTTCTGCAACAATTTGCGTGATATCTGCACCATATATTTAGTAACATTAAATTCTTTTTCTATATCTTTGTGAGACCAAAAAATTGAAACCAGTGTTAGTATTTGAATTTTCTAATTACGATTGGAAATTAACATTTTTTCTTTGATTTTTCTAATAAGTATATCCATGTCATTTGCTTTACCTTTAACTTCCTTAGATAATTTATTAAAGGAATGGCTTAACTGTTTAGGATTTATATTTAAAGTCCTTGCAATACGTCACTTTAATGTTTTTTGAACAATTTTTTTATGTCAAGAGCAACTCTTGAGTAGCTATTTACAGCATGCATTTTGAGAGGACTTATGTTCATAGTCGTCAAAGAAGAGTTCAGATTTTTTTTTAAACAATACATTTATATTAAGTTCATTATCTTCATCTTCATAAATTTGGCTTCAAGCCGTTTCTCTTTGTCAATCATTCTTAAATGACATCAATTTAATCACGCACGAGGGACATATCTTTTCTCCAGGAATAACATTAATACCAATATTTTTTAATTTCCCAGCAAGTTGTATATTAATTTCTTTACATCCTCCTGAGTGATAATTACTGCTTCCGTGAGTGTTTTGCAAAAATATATGTAATTTATAAATAATTAGAACAAGTTTTGAAAAAGTTTCATGGTTAAGTAATAATACCTTTTCTTCTTTTTATTGTGATCATTGCTGTGATCCATTTAATTCACATTGTGTGAATTAAATGGATCACAGCAAGTTATGTAGATTGTCGAGTAACGTTTTAAATAAAGATATTCATAGTGTAGGCAAACCGTTGCATTTTCATCAAATTGAATGCCAGAACGGCTAGTTATCAAGTCTTTTTCCACATCATCAAGAATTAAAACTTTCTTAATATTATGGGGTTTTACATATGTTTGTTTGTTACAAATTTCTTTATTTATTATTCCAATGGAACATCTTTCTTTATCATTCATATTGTTATATTATTTTTTAGTTCTGTAAGAAACAATTTTAAAATAATTATTGTTTGAAAATTTGAAAATAGAAAATCCCTTAGCTATTAAACTTAATGATTGAATAAAATAAAGATTTTTTATGTGAAATGCAAACAAGTTTGTATATTAAAACTGAACCTTAAACTGTAAGATTCTAAAAATCTTTTTAAAAATGCAAAAAATTTATGCAAATTATTTTTTTTCATTACTAAATAACAGTTTTTTTTATTTTTTTAAATAAAAACTTTAAATGCAAATAAACCTAATTTAAAATAGGGTACATTTTGTTGCACAGAGCATCAAAAAAACTTACAAAAAGTGTTACACCATTTTGAAATTGGATTTTCTTAAAGAAGCTTGAAATTTTGTGTGTTTTAGCCGTCATTTTTAAGTTCCTTGCCCTAAAAATTAGTTAGGAAAAATGTTGACTACTATTAAACAAGTATTTCATAAGTTAAAGTTAATTGTGTCGTGCAATGCGCCTAAAAACTAAATTGCGCTGAAAAAAAAAAGTCAAAAAAGAGATTGGGACCAAGTATCAATATCTCTGAAACCGTAAGAAGTCAGACACTAAAATTTGGAGTGAAGTTTTCTTATATTAATTCAAGGTTATATTCAAAAATCAGCAAAATCTGAGATGACACAGTGCCGAGCATAAATTGAATTGAGCTGAAATCCCCCTTAGGTCTTTTTATAGATAAAATATTTATTTTTTGTAAATAAATCAGTAAAAAAAAATTAATTTGCTATACCTGACATTAAATTCTGTTCTATCTCCTTAATTCTGATTATTAATTAAAATTATGTGCTATCTCCGTTTTATCCAATCATGTTATTTACGTCAAAATGGTAGATGCGAGTGTTTTTATTACAGAAAAATAGCAACAAAACAATAAAGGTAAAACATGCACCTAAAACTTGGATGCAAAATGTGAGAAAGCAGCTAAGACAATTTGATCAGCCGTATAAAAGTAAAAAGGGAGAAAATGTTTCAAATATTTTTCAGCTATTACAGGCTACTTGAATTTTAAGATTGTTTCCACAATCCAGATAAAGTATCTGTAAATATTGCATTTTATAAAAGTGTTTTAAAGTAATTTATTTTATTGTCAAAATAATAATGTATATATGTTATGTTGTTAAATGGGCTTCTTACTGAAATGTTATGTTTTTTAATGGATTAAGCTGAGGTGCTGGTTAACTACTTATTCTTTAAGATATCTTTTTATTGTTCAATGTATTTTAGATGTTTTGCTATTAGAATTTATAACTAAAGTTTTATTTCGTTGTGAAGACCTTGGTACATATTTTAAATAACATATTACTTATCTTCTCTGTTGAATTGAATTTTAGACAAAATAGCGTTTTTATGTAATTTATTCACTAGTGTAAAATAAGATTTTTTTTCTAATAAAAGAGATATGTATCTTAGAGTACTTTAATTGCCAAAATATACATTCATCTTGCCACAATATATATAAAAAATACGTTTGTATCATGTTTTTTTTAACAGAAAATGGAGATTGAACAAAATAATATTGCATTTTTTTAAAAAAGTGTGTATTACATAGTTCTATCTCCAAATCAGGGTGTAGTAAATAAGACACCTGCACTTTAAATATTTTAAAACAATTTCTTTGAAACTGTGATAGCCAGTATAGGAAAGTAATGCAAATCGGTTTTACTTGCGTTTTTTATGTTATTTGGTCCATTTAAAACTTTGAACTGGATTTTTCAGTTTGGAAAAACATGGAGATAGAACAAAATAATTCTAACCTAGCGATTTGTACTTGTGATATACTTGTAATGTTATAAAACGAAACTTTTAATAGATTTTGAATAATTATATACTTTATAAGAATAATTAGCATCGTCTTTCTTTATAATAAAGAATTTTAAAAAGTTAAAAGGCGGTAAATTTTGAAAAATTTACTAGTAAATTTATTGGTAAATTGTAATTATTTACCAGTAATTTTTACCTTCGCAGCACAAATGACAAAATTAGGTTTTTCTTTTCACAAGTCCTATTCACGTAAATATTTTTTTAAAATACGGTTAAAATTTATTTTTTCTGGCAAACAGACAGATTAAGAAACAGGTTAATTGCAATGGTTTATTATTGTTTTTAATTAATGCATTTTTCTTACAGTATTAAATTTATCGAGTTCAGTGAATGAAATCCATTTGTTTTATGGAGTAAGCGTTTAATTTTAGACTATTCTTTCTTCAATTTTAATGATATCGTTGATATTTATTTATTTATAAAGTATTTAACCAATTAGACGGCTCATGATATGTTTTAACCAATTAGACGGCTCATGATATGTTTTAATCAATTAGACGGCTCATGATATGTTTTAACCAATTAGACGGCTCATGATATGTTTTATACTTTGATGAAAGAAAATAGATCTTAAGAATTTTTTTTGTTAGCAAAGTTTTTGGCAAAAAAGACTTCTTTAAACAACGAAATACGTAGCTAAGGGTTATACATTTTTAAAGAACTGCTGTATAAAACAAACGACAAAATAAGCCTTTGTAATTTAAAATAGAATTTAACATGCGACAAGATAAGCTTTTTCAATTTAAAATAGAGTTTTCAATTCCATTACAAATTACACTATTATAATAAATTGAAATTAACTTTAATTAGCTTTTTTTTAGGATTTCAATGCACTGTGTTTTATTTATGTATGTACTTATAAAAGAAGGAACAACTAAAATAATGAGTGAAAATAAAAAAGAGAGGAATGAATATGAAGAAGCAAAATTGTGGATAAAATCAGCGCATAACAAGTATATATCAAGACTGTTAAGTAAGTTGCAATGTAATGATATAAAAATGCATATATTCATTATTCTCATTTTTATTGTTTGCTTGATTTAATTCTATTTAAAAAAAAATTATAATAAATTTAATTCTTCTTAAGGTAGTAAATTTTCTTAAATTGTAAATTTTTGAAAATTATATATATATATATATATATATATATATATATATATATATATATATATATATATACATATATATATATATATATATATATATATATATATATATATATATATATATATATATATATATATATATATATATATATATATATATATATATATATATATATATATATATATATATATATATACATATATATATATATATATATATATATATATATATATATATATATATATATATATATATATATATATATATCCATAAAAAATTTCTACATTTAAAACATATAGTCTATAGAAATTCTATAGAATTTCTACAAACTTTTGAGACATAAAGCCTATAGAAATTTTATAGAATTCTATAAAATTTCCAGAGAATCTCTGTTAATTTCTATAGAAATTCCTATTGAGCTTTTTTTTCTACTTTTTTCTATAGAAAAAAGAGTTTTAAAGCAATTTCTAAAGATATTAATAGACATTCTATAGAAATTCTATAAAAATTCTATAGATTTTCTAGAGACTATATGTTTCAAATGTAAAAACTCTATAGAGCTTTATGTGTGTGCGTGTGGGCCCAGGAAAAAAGTTCTATAGAATTTCTAAAAAATTTTGAAACATAATGCCTATAGAAATTCTATAAAAACTTTATAGAATTCCTATAGAATGTCTAATAATTTCTATAGAAATTGCTATAAAAATTAACTGAGATTCTATAAAAGTTCTATAGAATTTTATAGAAATTCTATTGACCATATGTGTCAATAGAATTTCTATAAAAAAAAAATTTTTTCTATAGAAAAAAAAAGTAGAAAAAAAAGTTCTATAGAAATTTCTATAAAAATTAACTGAGATTCTATAAAAGTTCTATAGAATTTTATAGAAATTCTATTGACCATATGTGTCAAAAGTTTATAGAAAATTCTATGGAACTATTTTTCCTGGGCGTGTATATATATTTTCTGAAAAATATAATTTGCGTTCAAATACCAGGAACAGCTATCACTTAGGGTAAATTAAATCACATCAGTAAAAATTTTTAATTACAAACCGTGGCCCATCAATATGAAATCATTTCCAAAATAAAAATATTAAAGTAAAAAAGTACTTCATCGTTTAAACGGGAAACTAAAATATATCTTCTTAATTCCTGACATACATTTTGAAGTTTACAGCATTTGTTTACGGTACTTTTTTATTTTTTTATTTATTTTTTCTTCTTCTTCTTATTTTTCTTGTTTTTAATATTTTTTGTTTTTTAATTTGTTACAATAAAAAATATGAGCTTTGCTTTTATTTAATTATTATTTTTCATGTTTATGCTACGCTATGTATTTTTTACATGATATATATATATATATATATATATATATATATATATATATATATATATATATATATATATATATATATATATATATATATATATATATATATATATATATATATATATATATATATATATATATATTGTTCATCTGACCCTCAAAGAAACGTTTTATATGAAACATTGTTGACTTCTACTCTCTATGCATGTTGCATATTCAGCTCTTAACAATTTAGCATTTTCCGACAAATAAAAACAAATTCATCAAAAATTATAATGAAGCATTACCGGTATAAGTCTCTTTAACAAGCATTACTTGTTCTATAAAGCATATAACGTGGATGACCAATGACGTTTCAAACGCCTTTACTCACTTATTAGAAAAGCTTTATGAGAAATGCAATATAAATATAAAAGTAATCAGCACAAAATGGCAAGTAAAATAGTAAAAAACTCAAAACTGCAATTCCTATTTAAAAAAGTAGTCAAAAATAATAGACAAGACACAAAAATTATACAATCATACATCAAGAGCAATTACAAAACACACGACCGCACCTGTCAACTCAAAATAATAAACATTCAAACAACCACAGTCTCTAAAGTAATTTGTAACACACTAAATACTTATTTTTAATCAGTCTTCGAAACCAAACCAAAAGAGCCTCTACCAACCTTTTTCCACTAGCATACACCAACATAATACCCTCACATCATACCTATCTGTCTAAGAAAAGCTTTCGTACCAGATCAAAAACAAATTTATGGGCTTTGATGGCATTTCCCCAACGCGTTCTTAAAACAAGCTTTGCTATCCCACTCAGCATCATATTCTCCAAATAGCTTAAGGCTGGTGAGGTGCCGTCTCAATGTTAGTAAGAAATCACTCCCTTTTCAAAAAGGCTGCAAGTTGAATCTACTTACCTATTTTACGCACTTCTGTCTCTTGCAAGATAATGGAAAGTCTACTCAACTCATCAAAGTCTACTCAACAAACTAATCAAAACTTGGCATCCTTACAAAAGCTGCCCACAAACATCCTGAAAGAAGCTGCTTACAAAGTTCACCCAAGTGACATTATATCTACAGATTTTGTAAAAGTATTCGACAAATTTCCGCACCGTTGTCTACTTGCACACACTAAAATCGTACAAGGAGGCTGAGACCTTGGACAAATGTATTGAAGCTGGCTAACCAACCGCTTACAAAATGTAGGTATTGATAATAATAAATTTGAATGGAAAACAATCTCCAGCGGTGTGCCACGATCAACCATTCTTATTTCTTTTCTACATAAATGATCCACCAGGCAAAAACTAGACTATTTCAAAATGAATGTAGACTACTGTAAAATAATCGAATCAAAAGAAAACAACATAAAACTTCTGGTTAACATCAACAAAGTAATGAAGTGTTAACACACATAGCTCATTTCTTTGGTCGATAAGTTTAAAATCATGAACATCAGTCGCAGCAACAACAAAAAATCAACTGCAGTTTACTCAAAAAATAAAACAGTCGGCAAACTCCACCAGCTATCGTGCACAATATCTTAAGGAGATCTAGGTTTTGTAGTGAATAATGATGTAAAGGTCAGAAAAAAAGTATGCACGGCTGCATCAACTTGCAACCGTATGCTTTACATGCTCAAAAGCGTATTTTTGTACAAATTAAACATAAAATTTGAAATTTATATCTTGAAATTAAATGTATGAAGTATTTAATACGCATATTGTATATTTCATACATTCGCCCACATAGAATTTGCATTAAATGCCTATCTAGCTCAAAATAAAGTCAAACTCGAACAGTTTTGACACCGAGCGACGAAACACATCTCTAACGTAAAGTAAAATAACTCTAACATAAAACCGTGTGGTCATGTAACGTCTCAACCAAAAACTCGGGTTAATTCAACAAATTTAAATAACTTTAAATACAAACTTTACAAAAACATCTTAAATTGAAATATGTAACTTGAAGCTTAAGATTTTCAATTGAAAGTTAGAAAGTATAATATATCGTCAAATAACTTTTAAATATTATTGATTGTTAAAAAATTTGTAAAAATTGTTTCAACTTAACTGACAAATTTTTAAATTATTACTCAACGTTTTTACAATTGTTAAAAATGACAACTCATTTCTAGTATAAAAACATTTTCAACTTTTTACATTATGTTGACTTTTCAGTTGATACATTTTTTATAATACTCATTTGATTAAATAAGTAAAAAAGAAGTGAATCATTCAATTCAATTCCTTCATCGTTGAGATACTAGCAAATATTTTCGATATTTTCCAAAATACTTTTTCTAAAAGTAACATCCAAGTTTATGCTTGAAATTTTTACCTTTCTCATATAAAGATTTCTTTAATTAAAGTATGTAATTCTGTAAAAAATCTTCAAATTTGCGATTTATGTTTGATAAATTAGCTTGTAATGCTTTATTTATTCCTTTTTTTAGGACATTTACATGGAATGGTAAAAAGCGTTTGTCGCACCTTTCTTTCACATTTAGGCGCCAATCAGGATTGCTGTCCCAGGCGGCGTAACAGCTCTCTGCGGCCCTGATTAAAAGCTTCGTTTAAATCTATGCTTCGCCTTTTCCGTTTTTAACTTCCACCTTTTTACTAAAAATAGCTAATTTTAATTTTGAAAAATAAAACTTAACCAGGGTAAAAAGTTGAACAAAAACACGTTTTAAATACACTTGTAGCAAAATTCACTTTTGAGAGATTTAAGCCAATTTTTCACAAAAAAAAAAGACAAAAAAAAAGTTTTTACAAGGAAAAAGAAAAAAAAGTTATTACGAGAAAAAAGAAAAAAAGAAAAAGTTATTACGAGAGCAAATACTTAGTTTTTTCTGTGTATTACCGTGCGATTCATATATTTAATTTACAAATTTAAAATAAAATATTAAACTGAAAGTTTAAGTATTTTAACGCGCGAACCTCGCTAGCGCCAAAACCTTAAATTCATAATTTATTTTGTGAAGGTTTAAGGTATTTTTCATTTCAGGCATTATTCACAATTAATTGTAAGTAATGCCTGAAAGGAAAACCAATTAGTTTTTTCAAGTAAAAAAAATTAATTAGTTTTTTTAAGTAAAAAAGAAAACGAGTTTAAATAAATGAAAAGTTATTACATTAAGTTGGAAATTCAAATTTAAAAATTGATAAAACATTTAATATATTTTTTTTTTAAAAAAAAAAAGGAAAAACTAAAATCATCTAATTCATAATATTCTCTATTCCGTTCTATCTTTTTTTCTGTGTATTACCGTGCGATTCATATATTTAATTTACAAATTTAAAATAAAATATTAAACTGAAAGTTTAAGTATTTTAACGCGCGAACCTCGCTAGCGCCAAAACCTTAAATTCATAATTTATTTTGTGAAGGTTTAAGGTATTTTTCATTTCAGGCATTATTCACAAAAAGAAAACGAGTTTAAATAAATGAAAAGTTATTACATTAAGTTGGAAATTCAAATTTAAAAATTGATAAAACATTTAATATATTTTTTTTTAAAAAAAAAAAAAGGAAAAACTAAAATCATCTAATTCATAATATTCTCTATTCCGTTCTATCTTTTTTTCTGTGTATTACCGTGCGATTCATATATTTAATTTACAAATTTAAAATAAAATATTAAACTGAAAGTTTAAGTATTTTAACGCGCGAACCTCGCTAGCGCCAAAACCTTAAATTCATAATTTATTTTGTGAAGGTTTAAGGTATTTTTCATTTCAGGCATTATTCACAATTAATTGTAAGTAATGCCTGAAAGGAAAACCAATTAGTTTTTTCAAGTAAAAAAAATTAATTAGTTTTTTTAAGTAAAAAAGAAAACGAGTTTAAATAAATGAAAAGTTATTACATTAAGTTGGAAATTCAAATTTAAAAATTGATAAAACATGAATCACTTAACTTCATTGAGTTTTCTTTATTATTAAAAATTTTTTGTTTAGCCTCGTCATCAATTGTATTCGATTTAGAGGGAAATCCTCGTAGAATTATTAAATATGGTAAGTTTTATGTTGTTTTATATTTACTAAAACTTTCATAAAATTCAAAAGTACAAAAAGTTATTATAATATTTGAAAATTTCAAAAAATAAAATATATGGAACTCGTATAAAATTAGTGCTTGAATGAAATTTTAAAATATTTATGTGAAAATAAACGAAATTTATTCTTTTTTGCTTTCAATCTTTCAACATTTCAACTTATCTTTTTTATTTGGCTAATGCTTTACCTCAAATATTCTAGACTTAATATTCACAATTGAATCTGCTAGTGTATATGGTGTAGACGCAAGTTTTATGCTTGGTAACATAACCAAAAATGTCATAGGTTTACTTGTTTTAACTTTTCTCGAAAAATAATCTCAGCAGATTAGCTTATAGTAATTGCAAATTTCTATATAATCTCAGCAAATTAGCTCATAGTATTTGCAAGTTTTTATTTAATCTCAGGAGATTAGCTCATAGTAATTGCAAGTTTCTATATAATCTCAGCAGATTAGCTCATTGTAATTGCAAGTTTCTATATGGCAAAGCTGAATTTAGTAAAAGTTCTGATCATATGTTTAATAATGCATTAAGGTAAATGAAACAAAGTCTGTGAAGGACATTTACAAACAGTTAATTTACTAAACAACTGAGACAAGTAACTTGTTTATTCCAACTGAATAATGTAATTAAACTTTAAGACATCGAACTTAATGATGTAAGTTTTAAGTTAGTTTCAAAAAAACTCAAATCACTAAAAAAAAATCAACTGGAACTAAAAAACTTTGTTCAACCTCAAAAATTGTGCCATATCGTTTGTTTTACCATTAAGTCTTATCTTCAGAGCATAATTCAGACCAGTTCACTCCCAATTCAATTCAAGTCTGCAATCATAACACCAATTTAATAAGGTGACAAAACAGTTGCCAGCAACTAACGTCTTGTCTCATTAACATCAGTTACCTGCAAAAAAATTAGAATTTATTATAAAGAAAAAATTGAAACATATTTTTACTACAACATGAACTTGTGAAATGGAAATCTTGTACCACATTAGTTAGAAACTCTAGACTTTATAATTTCTTGCAATTGCAATGGTTTACCTGTTGATGTAGTAATGACAGAATTAGCACTAGGCCAGGGCCGCCGAATGAAGGACTTTTTTTTTAGATACCTTCTTTTCATTTGGCGCCCTTTAGACCATACTTAAACAAACAAAAAAAAAAAACTCCAAAAATCTAAAATTAATATACTAAATTCTTAATTCATTACTACGTTAAATATTCAAATATCTTTTGACCACACAAACCTCAAAACTTAAAAAAAATACTCAAAAAACATGCTAACAGATCTATTCATGGAAGCAACAGATTCAATCATGTAGAACCGCTAATGAAAGATATGAATGTGCACGAATTGATATATTTCAACAAAAAGGATGAATGTACACGAATTGATATATTTCAACAGGTGGTTACTCTGTGTAATCATTTTAATAACCGTGCACCAACATATTTAAAAAAAAGATAAGAAAAATTGAAATAACAACTATTTTCTAAGATCTAATGAATTATTCCCTTATAAACAACCTTAGAAACTAACAAAATATAAAGAGTAGAGTTTAACATATGGAAGACCAATTAATTTTTGAACAACTTTTTTCAGTAGTAACAGCAATTTAAATATATATGGATTAACTTATTTTATTTATAATTTATATATATCAAGTTTACCTATATCATCCATATTTTCTTTATGCTCTTATCTGCATTGTTATTTTATACCTGTGCATATTTTAAAAGTTTATGACTATATATGTATGTGTGTAACTGTTATGTATGTTTATATGTATATAAGTAACAACATATAACTGAAACACTTGTAAAATATTTATATTATAAACAAGAAAAAAAGTCACTAGTTATAAACAAGAAAAAAAAGTCACTATCATCTCTAATTTTATCAACTAAAACTCATTCTCGCCTGATTCGTCATTCACCTAAGTCTCATTCGTTTACTGCATCTGTCACTGTATGTTCAAAAAACTTTTGTTTGGTTTTTTTTATTTTTCTTTGTACTTCAACCCTTCGAAATTCTCTACCATCTTTATGCTTTCCTGACTCATAGAACCAACAACATTTTGAGACTTTTGTTAACAGATTCTTTATTCTACAACTCTACTCTTTTTTTTTTTATTTCAAGTAACTCCCAACTACTGGTTGCTTGCAGCTTTATTGGAAGTGAATCAGAATAAAGAAAATAAAGTTTTTAAAGGATAAGAATTATATCATGGAAAATATTTGCTTTTTTGGCGAACAAGGACCATCCTTAAAATTTAAAGAGGTAGTACATCCATCAGTTTTTAATAAATAATGTGTCTTCATTTTGTCTATATATAGTAAGAAATATAATAACCCTAAATGGTTATGGTTATTATATTTCTTACTTAGGATGGCTCATTTAGGGTTATTATACACGCAGTGGTAGCTCACTTGCCTCAGAAACGAATGGTGTGTGGTTCGAACCCCACGTCTTGGAAAGTTTTGCAATATCGGTTAGGAATTAGGCGTGAACTTCCTATTAAATGCTCTTCTGTGGTGCTCTGTGATAAGACCATAAGGACTTCTTAGGGCACCTAAATAAATAAATAAATAATAATAAAAAAAGTAATAAACTATTACTATTTATTAATATAACTTAAATACAACGATGCAAGATGAATCTATATAAGTACATCTACAAACTTAATAAATTAACAAATAAAAAGAAAATAAAAAGACAAATGTTTACAAAATTCAAACAATTACTAATATAGATTTTTATCATAAATCCTAAAATTTTTTTTTTTTTAAAGTACATTAGCGTAACGAATTATAAATAAGAGAATAAATTTTTGAATAAGTTAAAAACAATAATTTTACATTTTAGCCCATAATTATCGTTTTAGTTATGATCTACCACCTTAAACTAAAACCAATAAACAATTATTAATTACTAATATAAAAGACGGACATAAAATATTTGCAATAAATGTTACTTATATTTATGTTGTGCGTAGCTGTCTATTTCTTGTCTGTCATCTGTTGTTATTTATATACTTTTGATTATCACATATTTTATTAAATGTGACTCCAACATTAATAGATGCCATTGAGAGATTTGAAAATAATTTTTTAATTAAGTATACAAAAATACAAGATAAGCGGTTTCTCGATGACGAGACCATCTTGTTTTCAAATTTAACGCGTTTATAAAATAGTAATGATATAAAATTTGAAAGTTTTGTTTTCAAATTTAACGCGTTTATAAAATAGTAATGATATAAAATTTGAGATTGAGTGGTTCCTAGATGGCTAGGAACCACTAATTTTAAAAGTATAATAAGAATCCTTGATTCGAAAATATGCAGATTTTCGAATTGAATTTCAAATTACTTTTTTGATTCGGTTTGTTTCGAAATTTCGAAGCTTCGCAGAGCCCTAATATATATATATATATATATATATATATATATATATATATATATATATATATATATATATATATATATATATATATATATATATATATATATATATATATATATATATATATATATATATTAGGGCTCTGCGAAGCTTCGAAATTTCGAAACAAATCGAATCAAAAAAGTAATTTGAAATTCGATTCGAAAATCTGCATATTTTCGAATCAAGGATTCTTATTATACTTTTAAAATTAGTGGTTCCTAGCCATTAAGAACTTTTTTTATTAAGCAGTTTTATCTGTTGCTATAAGAAAATAGCTTTTTTTTATAATTTATTTGTTTTTAAGGGGTTTTCCCATAAAGTAAGTAACACTATAAATAATTTTTAAATAAAGATAGGATCTTTTGATCTTTAACGCACATAGACAAAAAGCGCTATATTTCATTAAAGAAAACCAATAATCTCCTGCTTCTACTTAGAAGGAAAACTTAGCGTTACACTTTATGAATGACCTCTCAACAGAATAAAAACTCAACTTTCAGTTATAAATTATAAAATTGTCGTAATTATTCATTCCAACGTTTTTAAACCTTCACCGTGATGCTATAAAAAGAATATGCAACTAAGATTTTAATTTTTGTATTTTATTTCAACGAGAGTATTTAAATTTAAATACATTATTTTATAAATTGTCTTCATTTAGATAAAGGAATCAAAAATTATTTAGATTTGTCACAGTTCATTTCACTAACTCTTTCAAATTAATATATTTCAATTTATACAATGGTAGGAGTTATTAAGTCAAACTTTGAATTAAAAGATCATTTTTATTTATGTAAAACGTGCAAAACCGCTTTACGTGTACCGTAAGATTGGTTGGCTTTGGTCCATTTTGCATCTTAATTTCTATTGCATGAAAGCCACAAAAGTTATTTCCTCAAACACTAAGTGCTTTTAGAAGCGCATAGAAAGGACAGTTAGAACTATCTATCTCCCATATGAAAATTATTTACCTGAAGTATCTTTTGGGTGGATTAAATAGTGGGCCAAAGTCGCCCTATGGGTGACTTTGGCCCAACCCTGTAAAAAGGAATTAAAGAAAGCAAAACAACAATAAAAACAAAAATAGTTAGGCAAAGAAAATTATTTTACAAAAATAAAGTGACAAAAAAAGATTTAGTAACAAAGTTCTTGTATACAGTAAATAAAATATAGGTACAAACTAAACAAGTATAGGTACCAAGTAAACAGGTATAAAGTAAACAAAAATGACATAAATAATGTTTCAAAAAATTTAGTGAAAAAGTTCTGGAACAGATTAAATTCCTTATTTCGAAATTTTCTTTGGTTCCTCAATAAAATTGACTATTTTAGACTGGGGAAAAAAAGTTGCTCTGCTCGTAGTGATCATTTCCAGTTAAGTCCATTTTTTTTCATAATAGTAATTTCTGCTCCATTTTTTCTTAATTTTTTCAACTGCAGAAAAAAAAATTTCAAAAGTTTTTTTTTTTAATTTTTCAGTAGTTTCATTAAATAATATTAATTATTA